TAAAATAAACTACTACTTACTACTTGTACTACTATCCCTACTTTGCAATTTTTCACTTATCGCAGGGATTCAGGGTGTGGATCACCCACAATAAATGAGGGACTACTGTACACAAATTTCCTTACTTTTTATGCTGTGTATGTTTTTGAAGAATAGATCTAACATGCTATATTCGTTGTTGTCTTTCTGTGTGTAATCCAGGTACACTGAGTGTGGTTTTGTCCTTTGCCTTCATATTTAACCAGTGCCTGGGCTGCGATGTTCACACTCCTCAGTGGGCCAGTCTGACCTACTTCGTCCCATTTATCATCATCTTTCAGTTTGGCTGGGCTGCCACACAGATCTCCCACTTGTCTCTTATTCCAGAGCTGGTAACCTGTGAGCATGCTAAAGTTGAGCTCACTGCGTACAGGTAGGTCCAATCAAATACAGAACAGGCCGCAGGGCCAAGGAACAGCCCTGAATGTGGACTTTTTCTTGTATTTGAGCAGGTATGCGTTCACAGTCATGGCCAACATCACGGTGTATGCATTGGCCTATCTGCTGTTCCACGTCCAGGCCGGTGGGAATGACCCTCTCGCTGAAGCACTCGGACCTGCGGATATTCCAGTCTTCAGGGTGAGGACTGTTGACCCTTAAGTGCATTGTAAGGCTTGTAGAGAATATTCATTGTTTTCCCCAGATCAGTTCCCTTGGCAGTACAGCTGTCATTTCTAACCCGAGCCCAAATCCTGGCCTGGCCCGACCCTAATTCAGGCCGGGCCATAATAATGTGCTTAATGTGTGGGCAGGTCTCAGGCTTTGATGTGGTTTTATAGATTATACAGCACAAAGAAAACTAAATAAGAATGCACACTATAAAATTGTGTTAATCTACTTGTTGAGGAGGAGTCGGGTCCAACTGGCCGTTGAAAGAGGTAAAAAAAAAAAAAAAAAAAAGTCCAGTTAAAGTCAGATTGATCAGCTGATCACCCACTGTGCGTGTCTCTGCACCCTGCTGTCATCTACCGTGAAGGAAGTAGCAGCATCTTCAAAAGCCAATATAGCCTTGTTCTATATTTTTCCAAATAATTTTGCTCTAAAAATATTTTTGTTCATCTGTATAATAGCCCGTCTTTATATTAGATTTTTTTAGGCTATTCGTTTTGTATGTTAATATCCATTTGGTGAAACAAGAAATCTTATATCTTCTTTTCGTTACGTTTTAAAAATTTTACATAAGCAGTAAAAGCTTAATTTAATATTTTTTACTTTTTTTTTTCCGGGTTCGGGCCTGTAATTACAGTTAATTTGATTGGGTTGGGTTCGGAAAAAATTACTACAGGCTGGGCCTGGGTCGGATGTTTTAGGCCTGAATGCAACTGTACTTGGTGGGGCACTCGTCATATTTTATTTTTTTCGGGGGTGGAGAGGGGAGGTGTGATATGCAGAGCATTAATTACGTCAGTAGCATTTTTGCCAGCATGTTTGTATTGCGCCATGCTTACATCAATATCAACAGTTGCGACCGGGTTGCCACTGAAGGTTCTTAATGATGTTGTTGAAGCACTGGATGCTAAGGATTATTGTGCTGCACTTTTCTTAGACCTGTCTAAAGCTTTTGACACTGTGGATCAGAACATCTTGTGTCATAAACTCTCAGAAATCAGTTTCTCAGATCACACCATTGGTTGGTTCTCTAACTATCTTTCAGACCGGAGGCAATGTGTTCAACATAATGGTACTTCCTCCAGTTATTTAACAGTCAACAATGGTGTACCACAAGGCTCAGTCTTAGGACCCACCCTCTTTACAATCTACATACATAATGTAGGTAAAAACATCCCTAATGCATCCATACATTTGTATGCTGACGACACAGTTGTTTATTGTCGAGCTAAAACTGTTGCTAAGGCTTTCCAGCTTTTGAATTCTGCATTCAACATCATCCAGACTGATTTGTTCCACCTCAAACTTGTCCTAAATGCTGACAAAACCAAAGGGAGCTTTTTTTCAAACAGGAAGTCGATCCCAGCAGTTCTTCCTCTGATTTTATCCTTAAATGGTGTCCCAATTGAGTTTGTTGATTCCTATAAATATTTGGGTATCTTGGTCGACTCACATCTCTCTTTTAAGCTCCATGTGGAAAACTTGGTAAAGAAACTGAAAGTTAAACTGGGTTTCTTTTTCAGAAACAGATCCTGTCTAACCCTGAATGCTAGAAAACACCTTGTATCTGTGACTTTCCTTCCCTCCATTGATTATGGTGACATTATTTACATGAACGCTCCTACAAGAACCCTGCAGATGTTGGACGCTGCAGATGTTGGATGCTGCAGATGTTGGATGCTGTCTATCATGGTGCACTAAGATTCATAACTGGCTGTGATTATCATACCCACCACTGCACCCAGTATTCACTGGTTAACTGGACATCATTAACTTCACGCAGACTCTCTCACTGGTACATTTTCATCTTTAAATCACTTCTTGGTCTGCTGCCTTCAAACATCTCCTCCTACATGTCTCTGTGTGAGTGCAGCTACAGCGTGCGCTCTCAGGACATCATTACCTGCAGTGTTCCCTCAGTGAGGACTGAACTAGACAAAAGGGCCTTCTCCTACTCTGCTCCTGTTTCCTGGAATATCTTACAAAAAGAATTGAAGCTCTCGACCTTTGACCTCTCTAAGTGTCTTTAAGAATCTGTTGGACTCCTAGCAGGGACCAATGCAGACATGTTCCTGTTTTTAGTTTTCTACATTCGCCTTAGAATCTAGCTGTTTTATTACTCTTTTTGCCGTCTTATTTGTAAAAAAAAAAAAGTAAAAAAATCTGTATGCCTTTTTATAACTGTTTATTGTTGTTGCTGTTGTCCATTGTTGTCATCTTTCTTTGTTAAATCAGGTCTCTCTTGTAAATGAGTCCTCGAGGCTCAATGGGATTTACCTGTAGAAATAAAGGTTGAATGAATGGTATGGTTCACAGTGTCAAAAGCTTTAGAGAGATCACAATAAAGTGCAGCACAATAATCCTTAGCATCCAGTGCTTCAACAACGTCATTAGAAACCTTCAGTGAAGCAGTCGTTGTTCTGTGTTGTTTCCTGAAACCAGATTGATGGAGAGGTAAGATATTAAATAAGTCCAAATACTTATACTTGGTGAGATAAAGAGAGACAGCAAAGGGCATGCACCAACCACCTACTTCATTCATATATGACACAGCGCCACCAGAGGTGAGCCAGAGTACTACACTGCCTCACTCAGCATTGTTTGAACAGGCAATGTGTAAATTCTGCAATTTTGACCACTGAAGTGTTGAAATAATACAGAAAACAATTTTATAGAACACTTTTATACAGTCAAGTGGTCAAATGCATTTTCTCTTATCCTTGTCAGTATTTTACTTGTCATGATGACAGGTGGGGCACAGCCTCACTTGCCTCCCCTGACTGCACATCACTGGATCTCAAATGTTTTTATACTCCCATCAAAAGGCCGACGTGTCAAGGTAGAGTCTCCATTGATCTGTAAACTTTTTCTTTTCCAGCCCATAAATTCTGATCCACTCGAGCCAGTTTAATTAAACTTTATACACTTCTGCATCATCATAGACGGAGTGTCACATACAGGTTTCATCATCCCAGCTCTAAGGTCAAGATCACAAATAAAGGTCAAATGTTGTAAAAGGTCTTTGCTTCTTCGAGTCATAGCTGTCGATTGCTGTATGCCGTATGTGGTATTTTGTTGTCTGCCCTTGGTTTTGACTTTCGTTTATATTGTGTAATGTTCTGCCACCTACTAATCCCAGTTGAGATTATTCTGGTGTAAATGAATTGACAGTTTCATTTTATTTTGTATGGGACAAACATTTTAAACAAGACATTAATAAGGCTACTTTAATGCTCATAACATGGCCACCAAACCCATTTTCACCTATTTTCTTACAATTTTGAGTCACCAACTACAGTAATCCCTCGCTACTTTGTGGTTCGTTTATCGCAGATTCGCTCTATTGTGGTTTTTCATAATAAGATTGGACAAGACACACAACTGGCTGATTGGTGGATGAGCCGCATGATCGGCATGGGTTTTTTATTTAAAATAAATAATTTTAAATTATTTAGCACCTGCTGCTGCCTTTGTGCAGCCAATACTGCAGGATAAACTTCCTGCTGCAGCTGATCAGCTGTTCTCATGCAGAGCGGAGAAGTGGGCGTGGCCAAGAACGCTTGCAGGTGGCTGAGAGCAGAGGAGGCAGGGAACTGAAATCATGACATTCTGTGCTTTTTTAGAGCGTTTAGAAACATTGTTTAGAATATTGCAAAAGTGTGGGAAGGGTTTAAAACACCTTAATCTGCCTTGTCTGTCTGTCTGTCGATCGAGAGATGGATCAGGTCCTTCTCAAAAAATGAGCATATTGTGATAAAGGTCATTATTTTCCATAATGTCATGATAAAAAAGAAACTTTCATATATTTCAGACTCATTGCACACCAACTGAAATATTTCAGGTATTTAATTGTTTTAATACTGATGATTATGTCATACAGCTCATGAAAACCTAAAATGCCTGTCCCAAAAAATTAGCATATTTCATCCCACCAATGAAAGACAAGTGTTTTTAATACAAAAAACACCAACCTTCAAATAATCATGTTCAGTTATGCACTCAATACTTGGTCGGGAATCCTTTTGCATGAATGTCTGCTTCAATGCGGCGTGGCATGGAGGCAATCAGCCTGTGGCACTGCTGAGGTGTTATGGAGGCCCAGGATGCTTCGATAGCGGCCTTAAACTCATCCAGAGTGTTGGGTCTTGTTCTCTCAACTTTCTCTTCACAATATCCCACAGGTTCTCTGTGGGGTTCAGGTCAGGAGAGTTGGCAGGCCAATTGAGCACAGTAATACCATGGTCAGTAAACCATTTACCAGTGGTTTTGGCACTGTGAGCAGGTGCCAGGTCGTGCTGAAAAATGAAATCTTCATCTCCATAAAGCTTTTCAGCAGATGGAAGCATGAAGTGCTCCAAAATCTCCTGATAGCTAGTTGCATTGACCCTGCCCTTGATAAAACACAGTGGACCAACACCAGCAGATGACATGACACCCCAGTGACTGTGGAAACTTGACACTGGACCTCAAGCAATGTGAATTCTGTGTCTCCTCTCTTCCTCCAGACTCTGGGACCTTGATTTCCAAAGGAAATGCAAAATTTACTGTAATCAGAGAACATAACTTTGGACCACTCAGCAGCAGTCCCAGGCGAGATGCTTCTGACGCAGTCTCTTGTTCAAGAGTGGCTTGATCTGGGGAATGCGGCACCTGTAGCCCATTTCCTGCACACACCTGTGCACGGTGGCTCTGGATGTTTCTACTCCAGACTCAGTCCACTGCTTCCGCAGGTCCCCCAAGGTCTGGAATCGGCCCTTCTCCTCAATCCTCCTCAGGGTCCGGTCACCTCTTCTCGTTGTGCAGCGTTTTCTGCCACACTTTTCCCTTCCCACAGACTTCCCACTGAGGTTCCTTGATACAGCACTCTGGGAACAGCCTATTCGTTCAGCAATTTCTTTCTGTGTCTTACCCTCTTGCTTGAGGGTGTCAATGATGGCCTTCTGGACAGCAGTCAGGTCGGCAGTCTTACCCATGATTGCGGTTTTGAGTAATGAACAAGGCTGGGAGTTTTTAAAAGCCTCAGGAATCTTTTGCAGGTGTTTAGAGTTACGTGGTTGATTCAGATGGTTAGGTTAATAGCTTGTTTAGAGAAACTTTTCATGATATGCTAATTTTTTGGGACAGGCATTTTGGGTTTTCATGAGCTGTATGCCATAATCATCAGTATTAAAACAATTAAAGACCTGAAATATTTCAGTTGGTGTGCAATGAATCTGAAATATATGAAAGTTTCATTTTTATCATTACATTATGGAAAATAATGACCTTTATCACAATATGCTAATTTTTTGAGA